CTTTGGCACGAATAATAATAATAATCCGAGCAGTTCCAATAGGGTCTTCGCACCCTTTTGAGTGCTCGGACCCTAATTAAACATATATACTGTACATTTACATGCATATATGTTGATGACTTCGGCATCATCAGCACAGACACACTTTTTACTTTGTCATTTTTAGTTTATGAAACTTAAGCTAAAAGAGTTTGTTTTATTGTGTTTAATTCTTGAATTTAGTCTTTTTCATTGTTCTTGAACATCCCACTTTGAATTTCAAAAAGTTGAAATTAGACTTTCCAGATCCCTTGTTTTAAACTAAACTTCTCTTTCTTTATGATTGTGTTTGACCTCAGCTTTAACTACACACCGTATTTGTGCAATGTGTAGAATTCAGTGCTTCCGCAGTAAACATATTGCTACTATGCCGGGATTGCTTTTTTATGGGCATTTTTAGCAACTTGCTCGAGAGCAGTAAAAAAAAAGGTTAAATTTATAAACGATGTTCAGTATGGTGCCGAACTTCGACTCTAAACTGGCTAAGGTGATGCACGGAATACCATTTAGCAAGAAGCACACAAGCCCTGTTCAATGTTAGCAAGTTAGCATGCTCGCAGTATACCAGTCTAGACATAACAAAACCTGGACAGTGCATGACCTAACCAGCATGATTTATTATCCACAAGGGATCAGTATGACTCGCAGCATGACGTCGTTTCCTATCCAAAGACATTCGTCTCCTATTCATACCAGACTTAAATTAATCGTCCCTTGAAAAGTTAAATCCTGACAAACTATTGTTCCATTCATTAAACAGCCACAAACATGCAGCTGCATAACGAGCTGCAGATATTCTCTAGTTTGGGGGTCAAATCTTCCACCACTTTGATACCATTCTGATCTCACGCAGTGTATTGAACAAAAGATGCTACTCTTCCTGATCTGCCTGTAAGCTCTCAGTGGTTGTGGGCTTTTTTTCTGCTCTGGCTCTATGATGGCATCATGTGGAAACTCATTTATTGATTTCCCTTTGCAAATATTATCTTTTCAGATTTTTACAGACATACAACTAGCTCTGTGTTTTCCTCTCTGAGTCAGACTTCTCTCTTGTTTCTTCATTCCCAGGTCACATTTACCATTACTGTGACATCTAAGGGCTGTCCAAAACAAGGCAAGCCTGAGACCATTAAGATCAAGCCTCTGGGATTCACAGAGGAGGTGGAGATTACCCTCAACTTCATCTGTGAGTGTGAATGCCACAGTGACGCTATCGAGAATAGTCCACTTTGCCACTTTGGCAATGGGACCTACGAGTGTGGAGCCTGCAAGTAAGTCCATTTCTACATCCTTTCTTTTAAAAATACATCTTACATAGAATAGTGTCTATCTTTCAATTCTCACATTTAGTCGACTCACTTTTTAGTTTTAGGAAATCCCTCCCTCAGTATCACAACTTTTCCCTCTGTGTCAGGTGTAAAGAGGGCCGTGTGGGCAGACAGTGTGAATGCAGCAGCAACGACGTGGCTACAGAGGACATGGACCGGACCTGCCGTAAGGACAACGGCACGGACATCTGCAGTAACAACGGAGAATGTGTGTGCGGCACATGTGAGTGCAAGAAGAGAGACAACCCTGAGGAGAGGTACAGCGGCCAGTATTGTGAGTGTGACAACTTCAACTGTGACCGCTCTGGAAACAAACTGTGTGGAGGTGAGTATCGGGAAGATTTGCAGCTCTTAGGCTTAATGCAAGACGCTCAAAGCTGATTATAGCCTAAATTCTCTGTGTCTTTTTTCTCTTTTTTTTTTTTTTTCCTTAGGGCATGGACGCTGTGAATGCAGAGTGTGTATCTGTGAGCCTATGTGGACTGGAAGCGCCTGTGACTGTTCCCTGGACAACAGCACATGTATGGCCAGCAACAAGCAGATGTGTAATGGCAGAGGAAAGTGCGAATGTGGTACTTGCAAATGTAAGGATCCCAAATTCCAGGGTCCCACATGTGAAACCTGCCCTACCTGTCCAGGAGTCTGCACAGAACACAAGTAAGTCTGAAACTGAAAACGTAGAAATGTCCAGTCACGTCTGGTTTGCATACTTTGATGTGTAGTTCTCATACATTTCAGAATTTTTGCATCTGTTTTATGAAAATATTCACATTCTGGGTTGCTATAGTTATTTCTCACAGTCGTTGAGGAAGACTTTTGTTAGCTACCAAGAAAGAAACAACAAATTGGGCAGAAAGTCAGGTGTCAAACATCGACTTTAACAGGCTGAGTTAGCACATTCAGGTGGGTATCTTCCAAGGTTGCAGTGCAAAAGTCCTTGTTTTGGTTTCCCTGGATGGTGCTTCCTTACGAAGCCACACCGGAGAGATGTTTCCAGGTAGCATACAAAGCATATATAAAACCTGCATTCAACACCAGATCATATTCATTTGATTTGAAATCAGATTAAGTTTATTTATAGAGCACATTTTAAAACAACAAAAGTAGACCCAAATGCTGCACACATATTAAACAAACAACTACAAAAATAAATGTGAAAAAGCTAGACAAGACAGAATTTTAAAAAGTCTAAGATCAAATTTGTTAAATAGATGTAAAATACTAAAATCGTAATGTCATTAAGAGACCCAGGATGTAGAGTAGGGGCAAAGAAATTCTGAAATGTACCCAACACATGCATGGCTTTATAAATAAATCAATCAGTCTATGTATTGTATATCAAAACATGAGTTCACACCAAATAATAAATATACATTTTCATTCTTGCATCCAAAGAATGTGGCTGTATAGAAAGTTTTGACTTTATTGGTTCAAGTTTGGGGCTGCAAGGTGGCGCAGTTGGTTAGCACTGTTGCCTCACAGCAAGAAGGTCGCCAGTTCGCATCCCAGTGGGATGGGGCACCGGAACCTTTCTGTGTGGAGTTTGCTGTTCTCCCGGTGCAGCGTGGGTTCTCTCCGGGTTCTCCAGCTTCCTCCCACAGTCCAAAAACATGTTGAGGTTAATTGGTGATTGTAAATTGTCCGTAGGTGTGAATGTGAGTGTGCTTGGTTGTCTGTCTCTAAGTGTAGCCCTGTGATAGACTGGTGACCTGTCCAGGTGTCCCCGGCCTTCACCCTGAGTCAGCTGGGATAGACTCCAGCCCCCCGTGACCCTAGTGAGGATTAAGCGGTGTATAGATAATGGATGGATGGATGGTTCGTTTGTGTCGATGACATTTTTGCCTCCCAATCTGAAACTTATTGTGAGATTCAGGTTCACTTACACTTTTATCCTGCATCATTATTTCCTGTATGCAGTGTAAGTAAATGTCCATAAATCAGCTTTGATGTTAAAGTACTCTTGAACTTTAGAAAATGTGTTTCTAGGACTCCTGAAGAGAAGTGTTTTTCTTCAGTATAAGAATATTCCAGTAATCACTGTCTGTGCATCCATAGGTACACTGGAAACAGGAACTACTAATAGTTCATTTGGCGTTTCTTTATGCTTCCAATTTGGAAAAATATAAACAAATATCCATCCATCCATTATCTATACACCGCTGAATCCTCACTAGGGTGAAACAATCTTCTGAGAATTTGTTTCCTGGTCACAGCAAATGTCCCTGTTTGTTACTGACCACAGCACTCTGTTCCCCCCAGAGAGTGCGTCCAGTGCCGGGCGTTTGGCACTGGTGAGAAGAAGGACAAATGCAAGGAAGAGTGCGACGACTTCACCTTGATTAAAGTGAGGGACAGGGACAAGCTGCCCCAGCCCAACGAGGCATCCTACCCTGTGATGCACTGCAAGGAGAGGGACGCCAACGACTGCTGGTTCTACTACACCTACGCTGTCAACAACGACACGAAAAAGGAGGTCCATGTGGTCGAAACGCTGGGTAAGCAAAAAAAGCAGGGCTCGCCTGAACCAGGGTGTGGAATATTTCTGTTAGAGAGAAAGCTAATTACAGGGGCTGTGGTGGTTGGGTTGCAAAAATAGGTCTTTTGTTTATTCACATACAGCTGTGCGATGGTATGTTTTCCCATAGTCTCGTTATTTTTGCACTGTTATTTCAAGCTGCCTAAACAGCGCTGCTCCCTGCTGCGTTTCAGACTGCCCCTCCGGTCCTGACATCATCCCCATCGTGGCGGGCGTCGTCGCCGGCATCGTCCTGATTGGCTTGGCCCTGCTGCTCATCTGGAAGCTGCTGATGATCATCCACGACAGAAGAGAGTTCGCCAAGTTTGAGAAGGAGAAGATGAACGCCAAATGGGATACAGTGAGTGCCTGGGAGTGTAACCAGTTCTGTGAAAGATGAGGAGGATAAATGTTTTTTGATGTTTGAAGGAGGTTCAGTTGAGCAATGTAAATGTGGAAAACAGGTGCTGTTTGGCTGCTCTGCAAAGCCAGGAAGTGTCACGGAACGAAATCGTGAAGGTCATCTGTTGTTTTAGCAGCAGACGAGATTTGCAGACCTGTTGATATCATTATAAGGTGTCTCGCTCACATTCTCCACAGTCGCACAGCTGCAGAGAGAGAGATTGAGTTTGTTGCTTTTGAGCAGCACTCAAAATAAGAAAAGGAAAAATGTTGGAGACTGTATGGACTTTTTTGGGAAAGCTATGCACTCGGAGCATAGCTGGACTTTTTTCCGGGGAGTGGCCACAGCGTCTCCCCTCCCTGCTTCCTCCTGTGCAGCATCATCAGCCAACATCAATATGACAGAATGCTGGAGCTCAGCATCAGTTCATGAACAGTGATATTCCTCCACCTAGTGGTGAGAGTTTGTCATAGCTTCTTTGGAGGCAGGTTCTACAGTGCGTCTGTCTTTAATCAGCAGCGAGCCCACTCTGTGTGTCAGGGTCTTCTTATTACCGTGGGCAGGGCAGCCTATGGCGCCACATCCCTTTAATTTTGAGAAATGATTGACTGTTAGTGGAGCTCTGATTACCTATATAGTTTCCTGACAAGATAGAAACCTCCTCCTCTCCTCTTTTAAGTTTGAAACCGTAGCTTCTTGATGTGTAGCCTGGGCAGAGCGTTGGTTTTAAGATAAATCATAATTATGTGTCATACAATCTGTGAAAGTTGGCCCATGTCAGATGAATGGCAGCAATGTGGTGATGCAGGGCAGAAATACATATGAAGGGTAGTTTAAAATGTCTGCAGCAGCACGACACAGTGATACTCTCGTTTGCTGAGGGGCCACTTTTGCAAAATGATAAGTAGTAGTATTTAGGAATAAACACTATAATTCATCTTTCTTTAATGATGAAATATGTATTTTCACTTTAACTGAGCCAAGAGACATTATTAATCATTTACCACATAAACACATGTAAAAAATCTCAATGTGAATCATCCATCCATCATCTATACACCGCTTAATCCTCACTAGGGTCATGGGGGGCTGGAGTCTATCCCAGCTGACTCAGGGTGAAGGCAGGTTCACCTGGACAGGTCACCAGTCTATCACAGGGCCACACTTAGAGACAGACAACCAAGCACACTCACATTCACACCTACGGACAATCTAGAATCACCGATTAACCTCAACATGTTTTTGGACTGTGTGGGTGGAAGCCAGAGAACCCAGAGAGAACCCACGCTGCACGGGGAGAACATGGAGACTCCACGCAGAAAGATCCCAGGAGTCCTCACCGGGATGCAAACTGGCGACCTTCTAGCTGCGAGGCAACGATGCTAACCACTGGGCCACCTTGCAGTCAATGTGGATCAGTTCATATTTATTGTGAATTATAAAATGGTCGTCAGGCCAGCTTGCAACCCAACTTGATTTGGGCTGTGGGCCATAGGTTGAGCACCGCTGGAGTAGATTACAGAGTGGAACCGAGGCTCATTGAGCCGGAGCCTCTGGTTGCAGTGACTGTATTATCACTTCTGGTTAGAAACTGATGGAGATCTGTTACATTTAGCCACATCCTTATCACGCAACCAGGTCTGATATATTTATTTTAGATTTTTTTCTGTCACAATCCAGCTTTACCTAGGCTACAGCAAATCAACATTATATGAAGGGTAGAAATAGTCTGACAGCAGAATATCTCTGCTTTGCTTAATGATTTTCTATATGAGAGTTGGTTTTTACGTCTCAATGGGAGAGGTGACAGTAGAGAGAGATGGCACATAACAAAAGTCCAACGGGTTTATAACAAGAACTTGAGAGCTTGATGATGAGCTGATCAGTTGAATCAGGTGTGTTGGAAGAGGGAAACATCTAAAACTTGCAGGATTGTGGCCCTTGAGGACCAGGATTGGACACCCCTGTGCTAGGTAGTGAGGGAGGTTTTTTCCATGTCTGCACCTGAAGGTTCTGTTCTGTGCACACGTGTCCTGCTTTGGTCCATATCTCTTCAGTTTCTCACACTGTCTTCCTTTCATCACTCTCACTGAATCATGCTTTATCTCTTTACACTGCCTTTTTATTCTTTTTTTTTATGTGCTGTTGCTTTTATTTCTCCGCTGAACTCCTTTCCTCATTCTCCACCCGTAGCAAGAGAACCCCATATACAAGAGTCCAATCAATCAGTTCCAGAACCCAAACTATGGACGTAAAGCCACTGTCCTTTAAGTTTGTATTTCTTCTCCTTTTCCTCTTGATTTTCCTGCATGGGCTGTTCATGTGTGTCCTGGTTTCACTCGGTTCCTACTTTTGTCTTTGTTTCACTGTTAAATTTGTTGAGCTAACTTAAAGCAAACCAACCTCGGAGCCACAGGAAGCGTCCCGACGTGGCCTGAAAAACAGACTGCATGAGCGTGCTGTGACAAACAATACAGCTGAAAATCACCAAACCTGTGCAGAGGTTCAGGATAGTTAGTGTTGTCTGAGCAAACACACCTTCACTGGTAAGTCTGTGTAAATATGAGGCTTCACTTTGTTACCTCCTAAAGTTTGGTTTGACGGCACCAAAGCATGGCTGTGTGCAAAGCGTGATCCAAATCAATGACGTGTCCAGTCAGTGAGGATGTTCTATTCCTAATGGTGTTTTTTTTGCTTGTGTCCAAAGAAACTAACAAAAATATTCAGGAGGTTTTGAAAGACTTTCAGAATTCTGACTACATCTTTTTTTTCTTTACTTTTCAGGGTGAAAATCCAATCTACAAAAGTGCCGTCACAACTGTGATCAATCCCAAATACGAGGGCAAATGATGGCTCCACGGTTTTCATTGGACTCTGCTATCAAGCGCCTGACAGCTGCAGGAGGTTTGGGGGCGCTGACAGGAGCATTTGGTGGTGCATTTTTTTTCTTGTCGCTTTACCATTATAATGTATCATCTGGCCACCGCATCCGTATTTTTACTAACACTTATGATTTATATGCATTTGTTGTATTTTATATGTACAGTATACAGTATGTGTATATACTTTGAAGTTGCAGAAGTTGATGAAATGATGGTGTTTTTCCTGCCGCTGGACTGGTATGGGCAGATGATTTAGCTTTTTTTTTTTTAACAACACAATGTGGACTCTCTGGTAACACAACACGAGGATTCTTCAGCTTCTGTCGCTCTCTCTTTTGTCTCCGTTGTCTCCTCATCTCTCCCCGTGCACTGACCTTTTGTGAGTTTCTGTGTGTTTCCAGACAGGACCTGGGTTTAAGGTGTAAATTCTCAGCCATAGCAGCACATTATGTCCGTGTGTGTGTGTGTGTGTGAGTGTGTATATATAGAAAACAGCTGCAACAGGAAGTTTTGAATAATATTGAGCATTCAACGTCGATTGGACAGTTCTGTTAAATCACACTAGATCATGCAGTGGTTGTAAATGTAGTTCTGAACTGCAGCTTAGAAACATCCAGTGTTTAAAATTTGTATTTGACTCTGAGTGCTGTTGCCTATCTTGAAGGAAGATGAATGTCAACTATCATTATTTGTGTTGTTGATATGCTGTCGTAAAAGGGATTGTATACCACTTGTTAAATGTATTCAATCGTGAACAATCAGATTTGTATAGTCATGCTACAAGTTACAATGAAGTCATGAGATGTTGTTCTAGTTGCTAACTGCAGTAACCTTATTGCTCATTCTCAGGTCCTTTCCTGTGTTCTTGTCAAGTACACCAAAAATATGTTTTCTGTCAGCTTGTTCATTGAGCTCCTCTGTGTGAGTCGCCGGCGTTAGTTTAATGTTTTATCGACTGTAAGACTGAACACGAGAGTATTTGTTGAGATGTCACATGAATCACCTCGGAAATGTTTTTACACCCAAATGCCTCTGAAGCACCACACACAAGCCTTTACAGTATTGTTTTCCAAGTGCCTTTTATTTCAATACCATGTTCTCTCCCAATGCTGTTTATGAGTTATTTATTAAAGTACAAAAACTGTGTCTTTGTCC